TTGCTTTTGTATTAATGATTCTAATAATTCTTGGGCTTATGTTTAAGTAAGACTTTTTTTTTTTTTGGACAGGGTCTCCCTAGTCCCATTTTGCCTGCAATTCACTATGTAGACCAGGCCAGCCTCGATCTCACAGAGATCTGCCTGTCTCTGCTTCCCAAGGGCTGGGATCAAAGGTGTGCACCACCATGTCCGGCGTTAAGTAACACTTCTTAAAAACATTATTCTTTGAAATAAAAAGAACAATAATTATTGTTTTCTTTAAATAAAGCCTGTTCTTCTAGCTTGGTATGCTGAAGACATTCCAGGGATAAGATCTGAAGCGACATTTGCTTTGAAATTCAGGTATTCTATTACTTGAAGCAGAGAGAGTGGGAGGTGGAACAGGGATGCTAGACAGAGCTTCGTTTTCAAGTAAAGTGACTTTGAGTGGTCCCACTTATATTTCTCTAGGTTTAGAGCAGAGAAAGCTTACCTTAGAGGCCTCGAATTAAGTTAAAGTACTTCCAGAGATGTTCAACCTGGCCATCATCTCTCAGCCAGCTGTGGAGTGGTTTTGAAATAGCAGGGCTGAGAGCCCTCTCTAGTTGACAGTTTGCACTCCTGTCCTGGATCTCTTACTTTGAGAGCATCCTCCAGGAGAGTCGTTCATGGGCATTCTTTAAACTCTTCTGAGCCTAAATGCAGACTGAAAGCAAGCAGTAGAGCAGTCTTTCATCCTCAACCCAAAAAGACATTCCAAGCAAAAACAGAATTATTTTATAACATGCCATTTTCTACCTAATTTTATGCATTAGATTATCCATTACATATGTACTATATTATCTATCAGGCATTAATGTCTCTTTAATGTCTGGGTCAGTTAAATAGGCTACACTTCTTTTTCAGGATTTATTTTTAATTTTTAATTATGTGTATGTGTGTGTGTGTGTGTGTGTGTGTGTGTGTGTGTACATACAGTTGGTGCACATGTGAGTGCAGGTGCCTGTGAAGTTCAGAAGAGGGCGTCAGATTCCCTGAAGAGCTGGTTACAGGGGACTATGAGCTACTGGACATGGTGCAGGGAATCAAACTCTGCAAGAGCAGCAAGTACTCTATTTAAAAATTGAATATTTTATGTGTATGAGTGTTATGTCTGCACGTATGTAAGTGCACCTGTGTCATACAGTGCCCTAAGAGGACAGAAGATGGCATCAGATCCCCTGGAATTGGAGTAACGGGTGGTTGTTAACCACCATGTGGGTTCTGGGATTCAAATCCAGGTCTTCTGCAAGAGCAACCAGTGCTCTTAACTGCTGAGCCATCTCTCCAGCCCCCAAAGGGCAGCAAGTACTCTTAAGTGCTGAGTCATCTCTTCTGCCCCTGCACTTCTTAAAGTTGTTTGAATTTTGAAAATATTCTCTTTCCATCTTGCCCTCAGAAAGCTTACATTGTTAAGGGTCAGACGGAAAAAAATGAGCACTAAAAAAAATGTAAGACTGAATGAATGCTGTGAGAAACAAGCCAACCAACAACCAAAACAGGACAGGGACTAGAGAGTGGCAGGAAGGCTAAAGGGACATTAAGGAAAGCTCTCCCAGGAGGTAACATTTAACATCGATATGCAAGAAGTAAAGAGTGATCCGTTTAACAGCAAAGACCCTGGACGTGAGTGAGCATGTGTGGCGTTCTTCAGGGATAGCAAGGAGTCCATTATGAATGGAGAGCACTGGGAAATGAAGTTGAAACAGCCAAATCCAGGTCTTTGTGGCCCTGTGTACTTCCTGGTCTTATCTATATGAGTATTTTGGATGCAATGTTGGCCTGATCTGTTCTCTGACTTAAAAGGCTCACTCTGTCCTGTGGAGGAAAGCATCAGGGAGAGCAATTAGGAAGGCACTGTAATAGTCAGGCTGTACAGTGAGGTCGGGGTGGTGATGCCGAGCGCTGTGAGAGGTGGTGGAGTTCTGGAGTGATTTTTGTAGACAGATCCAGTATTTCCTAATCGATTAGGTAGAAAAATGAGAGAAAAAGACCAATCAAGGAAGATTCTAAGAATTTTAACCTGAGCCACTGGATGACCCTTGCCTCAAGGGTCATTCACTGCATGGAGAAGTGTAGTATCTTACAAAGGGAGGGAAGGCTGAAGAGGAGCAGATTTTAAATCAGACAAGAGTTGAGATTTGAAGTATTTTATTTAATTCAATGGACATTCAATTAAAATTGTCAGTATGTAGGGTAAGCACTTAGCAGTCACTGGTCCCTGTAATATTGAAATCCTGCTCAGAAAATGTTTGCCAGGCCCCTCCACTTCAGCAGGAGGTGTGTGTCCTGAGCAGGGCTAGGTTCTGCTTTCTACAAGTGCTTTCTGCTCACCTGTCCATCAAAGCTCTTTGCTTGACCCTGGGAAACACTTTTCCTCCTTTCCCATCCTTGGCTCCTTCTGAAGACCTGGCCCCTTGTTGACTATTCTCCTCCATGTCTTGCCCCTGAAAGCTTTTTTTCTTTTTTCAAAGCTATTTTAGTCTCTTTTCATCAAAGTTAGGAGGATTTGGACACATAATTGTTTTCACATAAAATTCTCTCTCCAGGCTTGGACATGTCAGGCTGCATGGGGGGAGACATACTTATACTTCCTACTGGCTTTTTAACTAAAAGAGACCTACTATTTATTAAATCAGCCCTTGTGGAGATCTTAACAAAAGATTCTCCAACTTCTCCTTGAAGTCCTTTTATTGGTTGGAGAAACTGGAGAGAACCAGGCTTATTTTGCACTGTGATAAATTTTGACACTTCTCTGCTTCTTCTAATTCCACCTGTGGAGTGCCACCTACACTGCCCCTACACTGCCCCTACACTGCCCCCACACTGCCCCCACACTGCCCCTACACTGTCCTTACATTGCCCTCACACTGCCCCCTACACTGCCCCTACACTGTCCTTACACTGCCACTTCACTGCCCCCACACTGCCCCTACACTGCCCTTACACTGCCCCCACACTGCCCTTCCACTGTCCCTGCACTGCCTCCACACGGCCCCCCACCCCGTCCCCTACACTGTCCCTACACTGCCCTCTACACCGCCCCCTTACTTCCATTGTACTGCCCTTACACTGTCCCTACACTGCCCTCTACACCGCCCCCTTACTTCCATTGTACTGCCCTTACACTGTCCCTACACTGCCCTCTACACCGCCCCCTTACTTCCATTGTACTGCCCTTACACTGTCCCTACACTGCCCCCTACACTGCCCCCACACTGCCCCCCACACCGTCCCCTACACTGTCCCTACACTGCCCTCTACACCGCCCCCTTACTGCCTTTGTACTGCCCTTACACTGTCCCTACACTGCCCCGACACTGCCCCCACACTGCCCCTACACTGCCTCCTACACTGCCGCCTACAATGTCCCTACACTTGAACATGCAGTTAAAACATGGCAACAAACACATTTCACCTCCTGCCTGGAAATCATTTCATCAAGGTATAAAAGTTCACTGGGCATGCTTCATATACTGCGAGTTACTATGGGTAAGTTTTAACACATAAGTCATCATTACACAATACAACACAACATACTTTTTTAGCTTTCTATAACAACTTCCTTCCTTCCCCTCCCTCCTCCCCCTCCCTGCTTATTGTTCAGTTAGTGGCAGTAGCTCGATTCATTCTCTCTCTCTCTCTCTCTCTCTCTCTCTCTCTCTCTCTCTCCTTTTTGAGACAGGATCTCCATTTAGCCCCAGCTGACCTGGAACTCGCTATGTAGACCAGGCTGGCTTCAAACTCGCTCTGCCTCCCAAGTGCTGGAATTAAAGGCGTGTACCACTACACCCAGCAGACAATTTTCTTTCTTTTCAAAAATATTTATATTTTAGACAGTGTCTCACTAAGCTGGCATAGATTTCTGATCCTTCTATTTCAGCATCTTGAGAGGTAAGATTATAGGCATGTCAAAACAATCAGATGTGAGTTATTTATTGCTTTAAAATGATTTTTAAAACTTTCAGATTTTAGGTTCATTTTCAGAGTAAAACAGGTTCTTTAGGCCTTAGACAGTGGCCATGGATTCAATCCCCAGCTCTACAAACAGCAAAACAAAATTTTCATTATTTATAAGGTTATTTCTCAGTTGCAAAGTTTCTTCCTTCCTCAGTGCTAGCCACGACTCAGAATGTTCTGCCTTCGGCCTCGGGTGCACACGGTCAGACAGAAAGGAGGAGGATGCTTTTTATTTGCATCTGCAGTGGACTCAGCATACAGTAACAGCCTCAGGTCTGACAAACAAATGCATTTTTTAACTGCTTTTTCCCTTCTTTGCATATCACTTGGTCCCAAGGTCAATGCCATGTGCTTTAGTTTTGTTAACAAAGCAGCCCACCTCTTGATGCCAGTTTCTACCAGCTAGCTGTCTTTGTATAACAGATCTTTCAGGGCTTGAATGTGTTCTCCAAAATTTCGAGTGTTGGACCTCACTCTCAACTCCACACACTGACGGTGTTTGGAAGGGGCAACCTTTCTGTTCCATCAGGGGTCAAATGAAATCCCTTTAGTGGGCACTGATGTCTTCAAGCTATCCTAGCTCCTAACACCACGGGCACTTAGTCACTAGGCTGAGGGTTAACATATGAATCTTGGGAGGATACATTCACACCACCACAACTAATGGAGCCAGACCAAGTGATCATCTTGGTCAGTCTACCAAACCCTGCTTGGAGGCTTATTGAAGGTGCCCAGTTTAATTTAAAAGGCTCACACTTTTCCTTCATCATTGACTTTAGGGTGTAAGAAGCAGAGTTTCCTGTGACAAGAAAAGGGTATCAAGGGTCTTCCTTTCAAGAGGAGTTTTCAGGAGGAATTTTACAGAACTTTCAGGAGGGCTGTGCCTGCAGTGCACGGGAGAGGATTGTCAGCCCAGTTCTCAGAAGCTTGGACCGCTAGCTCTTAGACACGGCATCCGTGAAAACGTGGATCCGGATCCCTGGGGCCAAAGGCTGCCGGGTGATCCCGGTGCTGCGCCTGCTACTCCATCGCGCCTTTTCGGGGTCTCCGCGCGAGATGGGGAGAGGACCAAAGTTGAAAGTGGGGAGCCAGCCGTGGTGCCCGGTGTCTCCAGCTCCCCGGAGGCCATTGGGGCTCTGCTCTCTTCTAGCTTGGAAGGTAGGTGGTGGGGACACAAGCAGAAAGTCTTGGAATCTAGGCCTGCTGAAGGAAACCGCTTCTCTGCCAGTAGGGAGGTATCCTAAGAGAAGGAGGGAGTTTGCTAGCGCTCGGGTCTGCTGAGGCCCTAGAAACCCTGGGTAATTTCCGGAGCCGCCTGGCCACTGGAAGCACCAGTGGGAGCATCTGGGAGCAGGAGCCCCTGGTCCCTGCTACTGCCCTGGCCACCTGATGGGGAGGAGGTTCCTGGGATTTGAGGGGAGGGGACCTCACTGCCCTGCTGTGTTGAGAATGGCCCTGGTGCACTTGGGTATTCGCTGGAAATCACTTGTTGATAGAATTTTGTGCAGTGCTAGTAGTAATTTAACTTTCCTAGGGTAGAAAACACTGTGCATTTAGTAAATACTTCAGAAGAGCAAGCTTTGATTACACATATGCAAGCCATGCTACGTGGTTTTATAGCCAGTTAAAGGTCCTCAGTATAGGATTCATTTTGTATGAGAATCAGAACACTGAGGTGATTTTTAAGATGTTTTATTGGGATTTTCCCATGATTTTCGATTCCTAGCAAATTTTATACAGAATGACTTTTTCTTAACCTTACAGCTCCAACAGGTTCCTCTCTACTCGCTGTGAGTAAATACTCACTTTGATATACCTGATAGAATATTTTATGAATGCAGTGACTTGTGTTGTGCAGTGCGTGCAACTGGGATTGGTATACTTTTGAACAAGATTAGCTTAGCTGGTGTTCAGGACCCTAATGCCTTCATATAACCTTTCTTCTTTCAGATGAGGTTGCTCCCCAGACACTCAGGACCAATCCAGTTTCTAGAGAGATCACACTACAATAGGGTCTTGACCTCCGTGGTCCACCATGGTCTTAAGATAGGCCTTTCAGGCAGGGCCTGACCATCTGCATTGAATAAGTAGCCCAGGTATTTATTAGAACACTAACATTACCAGCCACCAAAATAGACTTGGTCTTAGACCTGTCTCCTGAATACTTTCTGAGTTGGGTGTAGGACTGCAGGGCTGTTTCCCTAGCACTCGCTCTGGAGGCCAAGGCAAGAGAAAGTGATTTAGAAGCTAGCCTGCCAACATAGTCAGACCATGTCTTAGGAAAAAACAAAACAAACAGAAACAACAAAGCAAAACAAACCCCCTAAACTGTCTCCTGCCTCTAAGCCAAAGGCAGTGGACTATCAAGTAATCAATAAGGTGTGTTAGAATTCTGAATCTGTAATAACTCATTGACTGGCTTCCTGCCAGATGGCAATGTACCGGTAGTGAATTATAGCTTCAGCCGACACTGCATTAATGACAGAAAGCAGTGTCCGAGTTTTATCTTATAACAACATTAAAAAACTCAAGTTAGGATTGTAAAGAATATATTTAGTTTGGACATTGTATTCATGTATGCATAAATAAGGCTCACTATCAAACCTTTCCAGGATATGCTTAAATGCTTTTATATTTGGAATGTAGAGTTGAATTCAGCAAGAAATGCAACCACTTATTCAGCTATCAGCATTCTACACTAAACATTTCATACAGTATTATGATTTGAAGCTGAAATGTCTCCCACAGGCTCATGTGTGGACACTTGGTCCCTAGGTGGTGGTGTTGTTTTGGGAGGGTGTGAACCTCTGGGAAGTGGGGTGTAGGTGATAGAAGAAGACACAAGGTGGACTTTAAAGGTGGCGTTCACCACGGGTTGTGGTTTATGTTCTCTGTTAACTGGTCTGCGTGAACACCTACGAGCGTGTGCTCCCACTGCTATGGAGGGACCTATTTTGGCCATCATGGCTTCTCCTCCCACGGCAACCCAAAGTCCGTCCTGCCTCTGCCACATTTTTAGGCACAGTGACATAAGAAGTAATGGACACATAGAGTGCCATTGAACATGGGCTTTTGAAAATTAAAAAAATTAAGTTTATTTTTTATTCATTTTTCTTTTTAGATTCTTTTTTCTTTGAGGACAAGGTCTCCATTTTCAGAAAGAAATGCTGAATTTCTAAAAAATGAAATGGAGCTGGGTGTGTAGCTCAGTGGTAGGTCACTTGCCTAGTATGCTTGAGGCCTTTGCTTCAACTGCCAGGATTACCCCTCCCCAAAGAAAATGGTGATAAAGTACTTTTAAAAAATTTAAAAGTTGTGTATGTGCATGCGAGTGTGGGTGGCAATGGATCCGCCTGATGCTGGAGTTACCTGCCACCTGATTGGGTGTTGGGAACTGAACTCCAGTTGCTACAAGAGCAGTACAGGGCACACTCTTAACCAAGGAACCGTCTATACAGCCCTGATTAAACTTGTAATGTACAGATATGTTTTGCTTCATGTTTTCAGAAATCTTGGGTTGTGACCCCTCAGATCCTCTTCATTACTGTCTCTTTACTAGATTAGCCTCCTATGGAGACAGCTCTTCCACACTATTTACGGGATTGGAGCATTTTTGGAATGAAAGCTCAGACGATTTCCTGGTACAGCCTTTTGTCTTTAGACATGTGAAATATTAGCCATATTTTGTCAGTTTATTTAACCAGTTCCACATTCATGATTATGTAAATGATCAAACTAGATGAGGGATTTTAATTCAGATCTGCCAACTGGGAAAATTGTCACAGAGTAACCTAAACGCACTTGGAGAAAGAATAGTTACTAAGAGACCTCACAAGAGAAACACAGATGAGGAATGCCTGCCTCTTGTAGACTTGGGCTAGTTCTTAGTGTGATAGTGTGACAGCGTGATCAACTCCATTTTGTTCCCTCTTCTATTTGTTTCAGGCTAGCTCAGCCCAAGGCTGAACTTAGTTCCAGTAAGTCCCTTCCCCCTTAGGAGTCTAGTTCCAAGAAATAGCTGACCACAGAATGGAAAGTCACCACACAGACATTGTAACTGTTTAGGAGAAATTAACCCAAATAATATCCTGTTTTTCTTAGCAATGTACTGAAATAGTAATCACCCAAAAGCCCCCTGCCCTCAAGATTGTAAAACTGCCGTGGAATGATTAACCACTGCTTGCTTTGGCTTCTGTAAACCTGCTGATTGCAGCATTTAGGGGTCAACACAACCCCACTGTCCTTGCAGCTGCAAATACCACAGAAATGAAGCAATTGTGGTTTCTGCCTTTGAAAAATCCTCTTCCCACCTATAGCTGGGCTTCAGTCTCAGATTCCCAACTTGGAGACTGCAGCTTAATAAAATTTGGCTGATTAGGATACACTTGAGTTTGGGTGGTCTTTCCTGGTGATCTCAAACTCTGTAACATTTGGAGACCTCAGCGAGATCCTGGGAGACTCCCCCCTGCCCCACACAACTTGAGGTTGGTGGTCGGGGACAGGCCAGATATGCGGGCAAGCCCGGTTGCAGACTTGGAGGCCCACGGGAGCCTGAGACCATGGCCACCTAATTCAGGCCAGTAGCCTGGGATAGGCCTGACATGGGGGAGAGTCCAACTATGGACTCAGAGGCCTGCAGGAGCCTGAGACTGTGACTGCTGCCAAACTGAATACAAAAACGAAGACTGAGCTGCCTCTGAAACGTGCTTAGGGCGGGACCAATCAGTGAGTTGTTCTGGGGTCTGGACATTTGGGGAGATGTAGGGAAGATGGTCACGATGAACGACCCAGTCTCCAGGAGTAGCAGGAGACGCTCTCCTGTCCCCCTGGTTAGGGTTCTGGTGTATGAGTGAAGGTGCCACCGCATGTCTGTGCCTGTATCTGTTTGGTCCCCATTGTTTGTCTGGGTGTTTGTTCTTTTGTGCTCCTTGTTTCTATTTGGTGGATTTGTGTTTTCTGGTGTGCCTGTAAGTTCTGTTGCAGAGATGGGAGCTGGACCAAGCATAGCCAAGACCCCGTTGGGTTACATGCCATTTTCAGGAGTTCTGTGAGGTGGACTATGGAATCAATATGTCACCTGGGAAGCTCCACACCTTTTGTGAGCTAGAATAGCTCTCCTTTGGTGTGGAGTGCTGGATGTGGGGTCTTTCGACCCCCAAGCTGCCCAAAAAGTCTGGCAAGTGGTTACTAGTCAAGCTGACCAGTTCCTCTACATCGACTGCTGGATCTCCTGCTTCTACCACCTCTTCGGTTAAAGTGTTGATCCCTCAAACAGGATGTCTCTATTTTAGTCACTAGACCCCTGAATAAGATGCCTGAATTCTCAGCTTTAACTCCTGAGGAAGAGGATGATATGCCTCCTCCTTACTTCTCACATACCCAGCCAGTTCAAGACCCATCTGTGTCTGGGGGACCCTTTGCTCCAGCAGCAGTCCCTAGGATCTACCCTGACCTGCCCTTGCCACCACACATCAAGAATGGAGTAGATTATGCTGAGACTTCTACCCTGCTTGTCCTGCCTCTGAGAGAAGCATCCCCAAGTGGACCCATTCCACGGGGGGAGTAGCCAGACTCCCTTTTATGGTCTATATTTTGTTTTCAACTGGTGATTTATATAATTGGAAAACTCAAACCCCTCCTTTCTCTGAAAAACCCCAGGCCTTTACCAGTTTGTTGGAAACTATTTTCTTTACCCAGCAGCCTACCTGGGCCAATTGTAGACATCTCTTGGGTACCCTCTTCATGGTAGAAGAGAGGGACCAAATCGTAGCCAAGGCCTAGCTATAGCGGGCCTCATAGAATAGGGGAGAACACTGACGCTAGGTTCAAGTGAATCCTGCCCTCAGCCCTTCCAGATGGGGACCCCCAACACCGACCAAGGTAAGAGAGCACTAGACACCTGTTGCCAGGCTGACTGAAATGAGGGCAGCAGCCAGAAAGCTACTAACTTTCAAAGTTATCTGAAGTTATCCAGGGAAATCAAGAGTCCCCTGGGGGATTTCTCGAGCGTCTTTGAAATGTATACTGGGAGTTTACCATCACTGATCTTGATGCACTGGAAAATCAGCAGGCCTTTGTAACCCAGTTGGCCCCAGATATCCACAGAAAATTAGAAAAACTAGAAGGGTTTGAAGGGATGAACAGGTCGCAACTAGTAG